GGCTCTTGTAAAATTAAAAGAGAAAAAGAACATTCAGTCAGCATGCAACAAGTTTTGTCATGCTCATTCAAAGTCCTTTGTTGAGAGAACATTGTTTTTAAGCTCAATTTAAGTACAAACAAACAATAAGGTGAACTGTACGTATATAGTGCATACATATCATAATTAATGTGAGTACAATGGTTGTGTTGAGAAGATGGTTTGTAATTCGTTGCCTTACCAAGATGAACTGATTCTGTTGTAGAAGAGGGCTTATTATGCTACTTCTGCTTCTGCTACTACTACTCTTGTTTGGTTAGTATTGCTGTTAATGTGTGGAGCTCTCAAACTGTTGGTGGACAAGATACTTAGAAAAACTATGCTGAACTACAAGCACACCATGGGGAAATCTGTGTGAACATCATACCATCTCACAACCAGTATGAATCAAAATCGGACAAAAACACAGGATTCTCCAAACTCTAAAATGCTGGTGAGATCGTGCCAATTGGAAAGTTTGAGACAGGGACACTTTTCTCAGACATTGTTGGCTGTATATGTTGTATGTATTTTTCACTGGTGGTTGTATATTTATTTGGTGCTATTTGTATAACATACTTTGCATTTGCTAGTATGTTTCGTGGTAATTAAATCTGTGATCAAGTCAGATTACAAGCTAAATAAGGTAAATATCCCCCACACCATTATAGTTTCAATCCACACCTGTATTAGAGCCTGTATACATGAAAGGAGTTGACATCACGGGACCTTTTTCTAAAAGTACCAAGCAAAATGAGTATCTGTTGGTTGTGGTTAATTATTGTAGCACATTGGTGGGAACGTTTCCACTAAGAGTTTCTAAATTGCCGCAGTTTGCTGGAATACTGATCAGGAACATAAATAATAAAAATATGACATTTTTAAACTCAGCATATTAACATAAATTCTGCACCAAAATTTAACCTTATTTACTTTAACCTTAAAATATAAATTTATATGCACTTAGAAAATCAACAAAATGTAATGAGACAGGGGTGCACAACTTTTATATTGGACTATATGTCCCAGTATGCATTATGTGATTAAAAAATTAATAAAAATAAAAAAAATAAAATAAAATGATCTTGAACTAAACTCACAGGTTGCTTTCAAAAGAAAATAATCCACACAGGGAAGTGTCCCAGTATGCAGAATGTAAGATGTAATATCAAATAAATAACAAAAAAGAAAAAAAAATGAATGAAACTCAATAAAAGCAAAACAATAAACAAACAAAACAAACAACCAAAATCACTAAACTCAAGTTTGCTTTAATAGAAAGCAAAGTTTGTGGGTTTATGTAATGTTTTTGTTCAAAATGAAGTTAACTCACAGATTTCATTTGGTCCCTTGGGTACTAAAAGGGAAGGTAATCCACAGAGCTGCAGGGGGGGATTACAGAGAATATAAAATGTAACATTTGAGTTAAAAATACAGTAAGAAAATAACTTATTGAACTAACCTTGCAAGTTTCTTTCATGACTCAGAGGTCATAACACATGAAGTCCAGTTGTTTGTGTGAGCATTTTGCTCCCACTCTGATAATCAATAAAGTGTGGATCTATAATCAACATTGCATGAGAAATGGCTTCTGCAGCCTCTCTGCGGGGCAGGTACCCCACCGCTCATCAGCCAATGCGCCACAGACACATGCAGGAAGAAATCCATACACACAAGCTCCGTAGGAGTCCTCAGGATTCCCTACAGTCTGCTGTAAACTATGTTTAATATGACCAGAATAAAAACTAACACTACAACAGACAAAAATATTTTCATGAACTGAAATAAAGCTAAAAATATAGCTAAAAATGTAAGGTGCATGAAAAACTGTAAAAAAGAAGTTAAAATACAATTGGAAATGGCATAAATCTGTCATAAATACAATAATGTAGTACTTATAAACACGGTCATTTTCATTCCATTCCGAGAAACTGTCTCATCCGTTGCCAGGCTTATCTTGCCTGCAAGGCACACACGCACACACATGCACACACACCTCACTGGTAACCTTTTAGGTAATGTTATTTCTGAGGAACATGCACTCACTTTTTTCAACCTGCCATGATCTGCTCCTCTCATTAGCCGCAATAATAATTATGAATACAGTCATGTATAACAATCTGCAACTCACAATGTAACTTAACATTACTTTGCCATTGAATGCCTGGTGAACAAGTAAGCTAGCTTGCAAACTGCATAACATCAGGCTAACATTGTTAACGTTAAATATGTTCACAAGTTTGGCAGGTGTGTGTTAACTCTATTCACAATTTCAACTTTCCACACCACCCAAGCCCATTTACCTTTGCAAAGGAGTTAAAACCATTGTTCTGTGTGGAACCAGCCAGGTGTAGTGAGGAGCGTGACCAAGAGGGATAAGAACTACTTTCTGTTGTTATTTGCAGTCTCTTGAAATGACTGATATTACACACTATCCTATACACGTCATCCTCGTTGATATTTGGGAATAAACCCAGTGCTACGATTGGTCGAACTCTTTAACTGTTAATCGCAATTGTTCATATGGCAATTATCTGTCAGCAAAAGTTCATGATCGTGACAGACTAGTATACATATGAAACTCCCTAAACTCCACCCTAAACACCAACTACCATTAAACTGCACTGGGTAAGCAAAAGATAATATGGAAATAACAACTTAAAAACACAAAGTGAATATAAGTCATCATTTCCCAAAAACACAATGCTAAAAGAAAGATTCTTATTTTCTCAGCATTACATAAGACAAAGCAATAAAAGCTACAGTGCAAGAGTGAATTCATTTGGTCCACGGAGCACAATTAGCATCAGAAGCCTTAATCAAGTACACTTGATTACAATTATCTATTAGTTGTGTTTAAAGAGGGATTCCACAGATTTTTCAAACCTACTACATAATTCAGTGGTTGAGATATAAACAAAGTCATTCAAACTCGTGCAATACAAAATGGTGCACTGTAGAGAAACTTACCGACTCTACTTTCTTCACAGTAGTGGTGACAAGAACCAGAGGGCAAAATGCCTGCAATGCAAATACAATCATTTTGTTCACTACACAAAATATCCACTGAACCTATGTGTCTTTTTTTTTAAATATGTTTTATATAAAAAGTTGATAATGAACATACATGCTTTCTTTGGGGACTGTTTTGCCTTACAACGCCCTGCGTGTGTCTGTCCACCATAAATGGATTTAAAAAAAAATATATATATATATATATATATCAGTTTCAGGCCAAAACTTTCTTTCAAAACTATCATCAGGAAGCATATTCATAAGGCATTCCCCATACTACCTTTCTGAGGGGGAGCTTTTTAAAGGCTTTAAACACATTCAGTTCCTATCATTAGCACTGTGAAAAAAAGTGTTTCACATCAAACCACTCTGAATGACTTCGTTTACATCTTAACAACTGAATTATGAAAGAAATGTTGAAAAATCAGTGGAATTCCTTTTAGTAGTGAAAACACTATTGCTAGTCAACAAAGACAATTAGAGTTCTCCTCACCGACTCTACACAAGTATCTAACAAACTCTCCTCCTTAAATAGGGCATCTCATTAGCAAAGTCAGGCTGTGTAGTCTTTCTAGCCCTCAGCAGAAGAAGTTCAGTTCCCGTGCACTGTGCTGTGACCCTGCAGGATTAGATCTGGACACCTCAATTTAATGTTGTTGCCCACCAGTGATCCCTAGTACCAAGTAGCTTGTGATTAGTCTTTTGAAATCCAATCAGACACAGCTTCTTCCTGCACTAAAAATGGTACTTTCAGGCTTGGTGCCCCAACTACACTGTTAAAAATAAAGATGCCAAAAAGGGTTCTTTGGAGCAATGATACAGAAGACCCATCCTTGGTTCTCTAAAGAACCAATCAATAGATGTTTCTTCCAAGAACAATTCTGAACCAAACAAGATGTGTAAAGAATTTTTTTAAAGACCCTCCACACAATGTAAATGTTCTATACCTGGTAAAAGTCTTTCCTGGAACCAATCAAGCCAAGAACCACTTCAGAACCTTTATTTTTAAGGTATGAGACACAAGAGGAATGGAAGTCTGCTGTGAAAGCACCACTATCAATAATAAAATAAATCAAGTCACAGTATTTTGTATATTTGACAAAATAACACATATATTTCTTACCTATTACTAGTGGAGCAGACCAGGGAGGGCTGTACCACATTTTGTCTTGGCCTCTAAAACTCATTTGTTGTTTGTGATTTAAACCTTTATATAAGACATTTATATATATATATATATATATATATATATATATATATGTATATATATGTATATGTATGTCTGTTACACATAGCAATGTTGAAATATTCTGATTTCTCAGAAAATGATCATGTTTGTGTCAAATACAAAGTGCTCTACTGTTTCAACCACAGTTTGAAGTAATAGAAAGGTTCATATATTTTTTGTTTAGAATTCCCATTTATTTTTCTTAAATTCAGAGCAGGAAACAAACAGCAAAGAACTGATACTAGAATCTAGAGAATCAAGACAGAGTTTAAGAGAAAAGTAGCGGCAGATGATGTAGAACGTAGTCCAATTTTTACTGACTTCAGTTGGTTCGTCTAAGAAATGAGTGCGCATACCGTCTGGTCAAATTACATTTTTTGCTGATTTTCTTATAAGTTAAAACATAAGTTATAACACATCCTATACAGAGGACAAACTTTTTGTCCCCCCCCCAATATGTTAAATTCAACAAAAAGTCACTGTGTATTAAAATGTACAGAAGTGTGCTCTCTGTAGAGTATGTGTTCTTTTTTTCACCTAACAAAAACATAGCTTGACCAGGGCACCCAAACTTTGATTATAAGCTCATCCTTGTAGCTTATTGTGATGACTGGTAAAACTGGGGGTGTTAAAACTTGCCCCATATCGCAATCCTCCCCATTCTTCCCTAATAAATATTCGAAATATTTAAGAAATTGCTGCTTTATGCCTATTCAATGCATAATTTTGCATAGCTCTTTTTTTCTTTTTCACAATAGCTGATTTGTGTACCAAATTTGCTAGTAAAAAATCAGGGTTATATGTAAGATAAATCAAGGCAGTGGTTTTTGCATATTTGACAAATTACTTGTTATTCGTTACTTTTTTCACCAGCAAAATTCAAGATACACTAGAAATAGCTGTTTTTGTCTATTATATAACCTGCAGTTTTCCCACTCACTTTCTTGCCCATAATTTCTTTTTAAAATTTCTCATTTTCACACTATTACACAAGAGCTGGCTTCATCTACTGACATTTTAATTCCTGTATGCTCTGCCTCTTAGAGCCACCTCATCTCCCCAGTCGGATGCTGAAATGACTCTGGGTATAGTGGGGCCTCATGTGGCCTTATTACACAGGCAGCTGGGAAAGGTAAGGGGCTTCTGATCTGAGGCACACTCGCGGTCCTCCCACAGTAATGATCTCCAAGGGGACCATCCTCCTTCCGTCCTAGCTCCATCCCAGGCAGCGAGGGAGACGAGAGGATGGATTATGGACTGTCCTGAAGAGCCCTTTCCTCTGATGTCCATCTTATAGCTCTGAAAGTCAGCGGCTGTTTTCCCCATTTGAAACCACATCCTTTTGAAAAAAACAATAATCATAAAGATGTCGCCATCTATCAAATCAAATCTATCAGCAATGCAATCTCCCTAGACAAACGTTGGAAGCTGAATGGGTTGTACTGAAATGCTAAGTGACTTCACAAATGGCACTGCCATAGGATGCCACCACAAACTGCCAAGTTGGTTCAGGAGAATTCTTCCCTGTTAGATCTGCCCTTGTGAACTGTACATTGTTATTGTAAAATGGAAGCATCAAGGACCAACAACAGCTCAGCCACTGCATCACTCACTATGGACTTTGAAACTGCCTCTACAAGCAACATCAGCACAAGAACTGTGTGTCGCCAGCATCATGAAACAGCAGCTGGACACAAGCCTAAGATCACTATGTGCAATGCCAAGCGTTGGCCGGAATGATGTACAACATGCCGCCACTGGAGTCTGGAGCAGTGGAAATGTTCTCTGGAGTGATGAATCATGCTTTATTATTTGGCAGTTGGATGGATGAATCTAGGTTCTCCTCTGTTGACAAAGGGCACAAATTTCCAGAGACACTCCAAACTCTTGTGGAAAGCATTCTCAAAAGAGTGGACACTGATGAGTAGAGGGGCAATTTATGGTTTTGGAATGGGACATACAACAAGCTTAGTTAGGTGTAATGGTCAGGTGTCCACATATTTTTGGCCATAAAGTGTACCTGAACTAATTGTGAGCAGATAACCATGTAATAATTATGACAGGCCTATTTCTGATTGGTCTCATGTGATGAACGTTTGTATAGCTATACCTTGGATGAACACCTAACTGTACAAAAGAGAATTTGTTTTATTATATATAATTTACATACTGCTATTCACAATAAAATTAGGATTTTCTACATGAACTGCATGTAAATGAACTTACAGTGCTGGGTTCATTTAAATTTGAGATGCAGCCTTATAGTGCAAAAACTGCTTACTTTCATCATTATGAGCCACAATAACACACGTCTTTGCCAAACACATATGTACATCATGTAAGATAGACCTTGCAATTTGTTTATATTCACGTATTTGAAGAAAAATCTCTGAAGAAAAAAATTGTCTTTTTGGGACAACAGTAGGGAGTACTCTAAGGGGGAGGGTTACATTATATATATTATAACTTGTGAGAATTACCTTTAAATTAAAAAAAAAATAAATAAATAAATAAATGCAAAAGCATTTCTTGTCCAATTCTTTTGTTTTGTATCAGAATGCAAAAAAACAAAAAAACAAAAAACAAACAACATTGTGAAATTTGCATATAGTTACACCCAGAGTTGGGCAAAATACACTGGAGAAGTATGGCTGAATACTGATTACACTGTGCTAAATGTATTCAGTAACATATTTCATTATAATTACTATCCAGAACACATTTACAATACATTTAGAAAACATCTTGACAAGACACATGGGAACTTAATAAACACTGTTTTTCGAGGCTACTGGTTTGCAGTTTTTCTCATGTAATGCTTCTGTTTTTGTTTTCGTGAAAAATGTGCTTATTTAAATAACTTTGGAAAATTCTCAACTTTTTTTTCTCTCATCGCCTGCTTCAGTCCACTGCTACTCCCACAATCCCCCGAGCGGGAGTCCAGTACATGTCCGCTGCTAAGGAGATTATTAGATTGATCATCCAGAGCTCAGTAATGCTGAGATAAATAACTGGCTCATCAATTTGATTCATCAGTCTACTCAGGCTTTAGCACGGCCATCAATTTTTGTAAAGGTATTAACTGAGGACCTCTTTAGAGTATATCTAACAAGCAGGTGTTTCTTCTGAAGATCGTTTGCATCTTTTTTAATTTAGTGGATAAGAAAATAAAGGTAGTTGTATTGTGAATACTGCCTTCGCAAAATGCAACTCAGAGTGAATACAGACACTTAATTTCTGTATTCTGAACACAATTCCCACTACTTGTATTCTGTTACATCTCAACCCTGGTTACACCCTAATATGCTTCGAAGCATTGTGTTTTTTCTCCATGTGGGGAGTGAAACTGTCATTATTTTACACATTTCTAAAAGAACAGACGTGGCACTCAGAGTGCACCTCTTCACTTTATCAAAGCAGCTGAACTAGAAATGAACTGATGAGAAGAAAAAGTGACTACATCACGGCTGTACTCTTGACAAACGTTGAGTGAAGTGAGGACACGACAGAACTAGAGCAAAGCCCCCTCCTCACTGGCTTCCTCTGCAAAAAGTCTCGTTTGCCAGCTCACATTTACTGGGGGAATGTGTCTCCCAGCGGATCTAGCAGGGAGGGAATTGGCAGTCAGAATCAGCGTCTACCGACGGCAAATTTGTCTGCTTCAACTCACTGTGCTATTATGCGTGGGCAGGGCGGATTTTCTGCCTGCCTCTCTCTCTTTCTCTTTTTGCTCTTGCTCTCACTGGAGACAGGATTGAGGCACAGTCACAATGGCAGAGTTTTATTCATTGTGTTCTATTTCCTTGCTTTTGTTTCAAAAAGCAAAAGAGACAGCAGCACTCGCTTCTTCACAGCTGTACCTCTGCCTCTCTCATCCACTGCGCACTCAAGCCCTGAGCTCACACCAAGCTCACAACCAGGCTGAAAAAATCGATGAATATTTCAGAATGGCCTTAATATACGGAAAAGATGAGATTACACAAATGGCTTAATTTTGTCTTTGTATGTGGGTGGATGTGGAGACAGAAAAGCTGTCTCGGTATAGTGTGAGAGACACTCCTGAGGCACCATTTAAATTACGAATCACGCTCATCCCAACCAGAGCTTGTGAAATTGTGTTCATCAATAGATAATCAGCAGCAAGTACACAAAGGAGAGACTGCACTTCAAAAAAAACGTTACTTAATGAGTATTAACTATATTATGTCAAGCTAGAGCTCAACGTATGCATACATTGTATGTTTCAGCATTTTAAATATTACAAGATCTATATATTGAGATCGGGTGTGTGCGCAACAGCAGGCTGGTCTGAGCCAAAGTTGGATCATTCACAGTGCATTGACAGGTTCAGAAAAACATGCTGGTACATTTAACTCATTTTCTATGGCACTCAACCTCTACCTATTCAAGGACTGGTAATTAAAGGAATGGTTTAGCAAAATAATACACACCATTTTCCTGCCTACCCCAGATTATATATCAGCCAAGACAGGTTTGGTGTCAAATTTTGCTTCTGTAGTTTGGGATTCGGTCTACGAGGCTAATGTTACTAACAAAGACTAGAAGTCAATAGTCACCTAAATCTTTTCTATATATTTATATTGCTCAAACCACATCCATGTCTTAAATAAGTTTGTGCAGACCTGCTGATGTGATTTAGGGCACAGTATGACATACTGTGAATTATACAAATGAACAAAACTTAACTGCGTAGCATTTTAGACTTCAGAGTCGATCAGGATTCTAACTCTCATGCAGAATCTAGCTCAACAACAGAAATCATGAACATAACCTGTAGAATCTATTGTTCATTTTTATAGTATAGTGTTTGTCTCAAAGCTCCAGTTCTAAACTAGAGAAGAACTTGGACTGCAAACATATCTTGGCTGATCGATTACTTCTGGGGTAAGCAGAAAACTGTGTAAATTTGATTTTTCGCCAAACTATTCCTTTGAGTCTCAAAGAACTTGAGCTGCCTAAAACTAAGGGTAAGGTAAGTTTTGGAGGGTGGAAAAACACTAGAGTGGTCATTCGTAAGAGTTCATTTCTACTATTATGTTGTACATGATTATAATTTCACCAAGTACTGTCTCATATGGCCTATGCACTGAAAACACTCAGTACACATCAGTCAGTATCTGATAGGAAGAAAACACAGGACGTTTGCAGATTATTAGATGCACCACACTACCATTCAAAAGTATGCAACCACCTGTCATATTGATAATTATTTTATTCAATAGTAACTTACACAATGTAGATTTAAATATTTTGAGGCATCTCAAGATGTTTCAAGATGTTTTATTTAATATTTCAAGTTTAAGAAGTTCTTACATTATAAGCAATATACTGTAATTATCTACAGTAATTCCTTGATAAATCATTAGAATCAATATTTGATCATCTCTTATCAATATGAGGCAATTTGGATGTTTTTAGCTTTCTCAGTCATTTCTGAATCATTTACAGCTCTTTAATCATCCTACAAATTCACTGAAACTTATAGCTATGGATTGCTAGCTTCAAAATATGATTATGCATACATCTACATGCAACAAAAGTTGTTTTATATTATTGAGAACAGTGATTCTCAATGCTTGAATGGTGATTGTAGACTTTTGAATGGACACCTGGGCATCAAACTCGTGATCTCCTGTTAACAGGGTCAATGCAAAGACAGTTGCACCATAGTAAATAAAAGCAGTCCCATACTTTTATCGTCCCCTTATTTTCTTACTAGTTTAAGTGAATGTATCTTATGTTTTATGTATTTTTATGCCTTCTTTTTATTATGTGGCATATCATAACGTAGAGCAAAGTAGTGTAACTTGGAGTTGAGGACATTATTTGAGAAGTGGACTATTCTCAGCACAACAGTGACACTTATATAATAGTGGTATTTTAATAGGTGTTGGGATTCTTGGATGGGTGGAGAGTGGATGACAAATCATGCAGCAACAGTCAGTTACTGTAAATCTCCCAAGTCCACATATTTAATAACTGATCAAATGGATAATACTTGCAATTACAAGGTAGGTGTAACAAATCAAAATGTTTGGTGACTGATCTCACCCATACAGTCCTATGAGATATCAATGCAGTCTATATGTAGCTATGTAAGACCTATCTGATGACCTAAGATGTCACTCCAGCAGTAGTCTCCTGAGTTCCTGAGGGCAGGTGACCGGTAGGGCACAGGTGAAGTCCTGACACACGTACGCTGTGGCTTTACCCTCTTGTTGAATGAGCGAGGAGAGAACAGGCAGCTTCTGATAAAGGAAACCTTCTGTATTCCCATCTGCCAATATCAGAACCTGAGAGAATAAGAAGAAAAATACCAGTGAGAGAGGGGTTAAAGATAGAATGCAGGAGTAGGGGAGAGGGCATGAGGACATGGAAAAAAAAGGAACACAGAGATAAGGAGTGTGGAGGAGAGAAATAACAATGACTGTCATAATGATGACAATTAGGCAGAAGAATACAGACAGCAAGTGGGAGAGGAAGGCTGGAAAGACACACAGTCTTAACCCAGTGTAAAATGCACAACTCCATATGTCTCTTTGGTAATAAACCATGATAGAGCACAGTGAGGGGTGATTACAGTGGCAGTCCTATCAGTGGCTCATTTCCAGTTGACAGTGTTTATATATGGCCCACCCTGCCATGGGGGTCATGCAGAGTCAATGAAGAAGCTGCTACTGCAGGAATGACCCTGACCTGTCTCTGAGGTGAAGCTTTGAAATATCTGTAGTTCAGCAGAAAAAAAAACACATATGGGATATGCATGGAATATATTTCTAGTTTAAACATTTCAATTTGATCAGTTATTGAATCAAGATTCAAGAACTTTGTCAACATATACAACACAAAAGTCAGAAACCCCTTCATTTATTTAATTTCCAGTAAATATAGCCAATAAGTATGTTATCCATTTTTCAAGAATTTTTTTTCAACATCAGGAAAAAAGTAGAAAACATATTTCAAAGGAAATTAAATGGAAGTCTTAATAAAAAATCCATTTCTCTCTTCCATTTAAGTTGTAAAATGTGATAAAGGCACACTAAATACTGAACCAAAAAAAATACATAAATAAATAACAACAACATTCAGTGATGTTGAGATGTTGACTCCTGAGCTTTGCTGGCAGGTCCATTGTTCTGAGAACATCAGCAGCTTCTTTGCTATATTTGCAAGTGTTTTTCTAATCTGAAGGAGAGTGGAGCTTCACTTTCTCTTATCTCTCAAACAGGGAAGCTTTAAGGATTGTTTATTTGATAGGGACAAATTTGACTTTGACCTTTCTTTTTCCTTATGCAATTGGATTATGTTATATCTGAGCTCCTCAGAAATATTACCTGAAAATTTAATAACTTGCACTTAATAGCAATATTGACTTGAAATTAAAGAAGGGTGGTTTTAAACAATACTGTACATTTTATATCACTGTATATTTATTGTCACCATCATATGGAAGGAAAGTTGTCTGATCAACCTCTGCTGACTGCATTAAAAAAGTAGGTTCACAAGGAAGTGTAGCTGTGCTTGCTGTGTCATCCCATCTAGTTATATTTAACACTATGTTCCAAAGAATTAATTTGTAGTCAAAGAATAAGTCAAAAATATGACTGCAAAATGGCTGTTTCCAAAAACTTTCAGCTTTAAGTGAAATGAATGGTGATTCAAAATATTTTGCACACAAACCAACAGATGACAGATGCACTTTCCAAAACCCTGTAACTGCATGTTTCTCAGATTTTAGTCTTTCACACTATTTTCCAGTGGCCCTTTACATAATGTGAACACTTCACAAGAAATGGACAAATGGTTCAAAATGACATGAAATAAAATCTTATTAAATTAACATACATTTTCTCCTCCTCCTGTAAAGCTACCTTTCAGAGATAAGAGGTCTTGTCAGGACAGTCATGATATGGATGGGATGACAAGGGTGTTCTTGACTCTTGACTTAATAACTGCTCAATACATAGTCATTGTATAAGAGCCTGTGTAGCATTAGCCATCTAAGCAATGACATGTAAAGCTCAACCTTCAATAATTCAGCTCTATTGATTCGCCCAGCTCGTGTTATCACATCCCTCCATGTTTTCTGAACCTCTTAGAGAGAGAGAAGCCTGAAATAACTCAATCAAGGCCAAGGCCAGTCAGGGGGCGGCTGACAGTCAATGGTTTTCTGCAGGTCCAGTTAACACAGCAGCAGGGATGGACAGTGGGGTGGTCATGCTGGGTTTTGACTTCCATAACAAGAGCATGGACCTGACTGGCATTTGCCTTTCACCCAATAATAAAGCAGCGGGAATGAAGGCACATGTAGCCTTAGCGCAGACAGTCCAAGTCCAAGCTACCCAGGAGAAGAGGAGAGAAATGGATGAAAGAGCAAATCTACTTTCTTTCACTGAGATGTTGCTGTCTAGTCCAAGAGTGCCACTGCAGTGTAGACGCAGTTAAGAAGAACATATTGCAAAATATGACAGAGGTTACATTTTAGGACACAGTTCCAGAGGCAGAGAGAAGACCCAGGGAGCTGAAGGATCTAGTCTGCCACAGCCAGCAATTCTATTTGCTTTAAGTTAACCTCTCCCGACCATGAAGAAGAAGTTCCATAGTGTGATTTTTTTGACAGTCGTGGTAACAACTCAACCCTGTAAAACCTGTTCCCAGTCACCTAAGCAGCACAGCTCATGCCTGCTGCAGAGAAGTCTCACTTTATTGCAACTCTCAGGCCATGGAGAATTCCGCATCATTACCTTCCTGCTAGCAGCCTGGAGCAGCTTCCTGTCAGACGTGTGGGGACATCACAAGGCCTGTCACCAGCCAGACTCAAAGGGCCATGACAGTCCACCAAGGCAGCACATCAATAACAACATGCAGACCAAACACGCGCCACGGAGAGACACTCTGGGGTTACGCAAGGTGACTTTTTCTTTACAGCTTGTCTGAGAGCTCTGGGTTACTCTACGAAACACCTAAACATTCTATCTCACTTAATGTTAAAATGTATGGTGAGTGTTTGAAACTGTGTCAGTGGTTCTCTGAATTACAGTACAGAAGTGGTGGAGCTCTGACATGAAAAATACATGAAAAAACTGACACATTGAGCTAAAAATGAAAACAAAAACAAGGGCTACGGCGTGTTACATTAATTAAGGTTATTATGCTTTTTATTAATGCCTTTAAATTATACTTAATAGAATACAACTCATAAAAACAACAAAATAATGAAAAAAAACTCTAATCATTGAAAAATTAGGGGATTTATCGATGAGTGAGAACCAAGTTACAGGGTTTTACTCACAATGAGCTGGCACTGTTAGAATACATCTTTTTTAACAGGAAAACTTTGGGCCTATACAATGTTCTGACATTTTCTGCACATTTTTAATGCACAATCTCTATTTATTTCATGAGATTAACATATTGGATTAAAAAGGAAACAATTTTTTTTTTTCTCTCGAATGTTAGATTTAGTGAATAAGTAATAACTGTGCATTAAAATGCACTGAAGTTTGTTCTCTGTAGAGGACGAATACTTATCAACAATTTAACAAAACATGTAATTTGCCCAGTGGTTCCCAAACGTTTACATACAACTGTATGGTTATAAAGCAGATTTTAATTTTATATTCCAATTTTTTGTTAACCAGCTTTACTGACTGACATGATTACTAACTCTAAATTGTTACACCTCTTCAACAGTAAAAACTCACAGTCTTAAATATTGTTCTATTGTAGCACTGGGCGTACAGCTAACCAATTTTTTTTTTAGATTCATTTCCTGTGAATTACCTCATATTTTTACTTGTTCTTTTCATTAAAAATAAAAGTTTGTTACAATATTATTATCATCTTTGTATTGCTGTTTTATAGCTAAACAAGAGATTCCCAGCAGCACAGCTGTGTAAAGTTTGGCCCCATTGTTGGGAGATCAAAAGTTTAAATCCCATCAAAACCATGGGTCATCGATTACAGCTGATATTACTGGCCATCACTAATCATTATTTCTAAATCAGTGAAATCAGTCAGTGAAATGATTTACCGAACAAAGATTTACTTGCATGCATCATTTCTTTTGCCTTAAAATCAGCGTCAGCATCACTGTTCCTGTCCGTTTTAGCCCACTCTTCCACAATCTGGGAGCACATTTCAGCCAGAGTTTGTGCTGTTCCAAACTGAGAACTGGAATTGAGATCTGGTGATATTGCTGGTCAGTCCCAGTGTTCCATCATGTCTGCTGATCCAGTCACATACAGACAGCCCAGAGTTCTTATCCTAGGATGCAAGAATGTGAATGTGTTCTACACGAACATGAAACACCAAATTAGTTTAATAGTGGGATAAAATGGACAGGACATCAGAATACTGGTGTAATCCTTATATGACAGGATTGGCACTGTCATTAAGGAATGGGAACTCTTCCCCACGTATTACAGAAGAAATGACGCATACAACTAATGTTTGTATTTTAGATTTTTCACTTAATGTACTATACGCTTTTAGGTTCATTTTTGCCCCATGACAACTGAAATGTTGTATCCACATAAACATCCTAATTGAATGGCTAAAGTCCTAAGAAACAGTTACTATACACAACCAAATATGAACAAATTCACATAAAAAAAAAGAAAAAAGTTAATTCCACTTGTCATTTGTCCTAAACCGCTGTTCTGTTGACCAACAAGATGATCAACAACCAAAGGCCACAATAAACTATAAACCTTCCTGTCTTATGACTCACTCAGTTTTCCATTACCGATGTCAAGGAACGGGAATCCACCCCATTCCTCCACTTCCTCTCTATCTGACCTCATAACAATGCCTCAAAATCTCATAAACTGACTCCCATCTTTAAGATCTCCACACAGAACACATAGTACTACTCCTCAATTCCCCCAAGCTTTCTAACCCATGATTCCATCACTAGAAACATGTACTGATATCCATCTTCCAGTCTGTCAGCTCATTCTCTTGCACACCTAAACGCACATACACACACACGCGCACACACACACGGTTGATTAGTCTGGGGAATTTCATCAGCTTTGTCTCCTAGCAGGATGGAGCTGCTCTAGAGAGCTTGAGGCTGTCAGCACACGCAGGTGGAGCACGCAGCCATTACTCATTCAATTATCTGCTGCGAGTTTATTTCGGAGTGCAACACATCTATGAAGCATGTCGGCCTCATTCCTGAGTCTCTGTTTCCTTCTCCAGAGATGGATGCTAATGTACAATCATGTGGTGTTTCCTCAACAAAAGTATTAATGGCTGAAATAATCACACTGTACTTGGACATCATTAA